AGAAGATCCACTTGAATTAAAACGTATACGTGATAGTGGTGGTAATGTTCTTTGTAAAGCTGGTGTTCATCGTGTTGTTTGGAATAGACAAAAAATAATACAATCATCTAATTATTATAAAAATGAACATATGAAAACAACATATGAATATGAACAAATACCATTTTTAGCTATATCACGTGCATTAGGAGATTTATGGAGTTTAAATAAACATACAAATCTTTATTCTGTTTCACCTGAACCTGAATTAACTGTTATTGAAATAAATCCAAATAAACATCGATGTTTAATATTAGCTAGTGATGGTCTTTGGAATATGATAACACCAGAAATAGCTGTAGAAATTGTTAGAAATTGTGATGTTAAAACTGAAGAAATGATTTTAAATTCTGAGGTTTGTAGATTATTAATTTTATTTTTGTTATTTTTAAGAAAAACAAAACTTAAATAGGATGATGATGATCGACCATTTCGCAATCCATCACATGAACTTGTACAAAAAGCATTAGTATCATGGCGAGAAAGAATGTTACGTGCTGATAATATAACTTGTATTACAGTTATGCTTGATCCACCAGGACCACCATTTAGTGAATGTATTTTAAATAAGAAAAAACAAATATCTTTATCAACATGTATGTCATCAATTTTTATTATTCAATGATTTGAGAAATTAGTTGTTCGTTTTTCTTTTTTCTTTTTTCTTTTTTCTTGTCTAGATTCAGTTTGTTCGGATGGTACAGTTGAAGTAGATCGAGTAGCATCGTTACTTACAAATGAAACACCTCAAAGACCTAAACTTACTGTAAAACGTAAAGAAAATATTCTTACACCAATTTCAAATGGATCGACACCTATACGAGTAAGTGGATTTTATAACTTTTGATTTAATCTATAGAACAAAGATATCGATTATTGATTGAAATGACCTTCTTGAGAAATTTTCATTTTTTTCGATGTTAAACTTTTACAGTCAATGACTGTCATGTGTACACGGAATTTTACTTTCTTACCTACCAATTTGATGATCGACCGACTAGTTTTCATGAAACTTAATAGTGTTACAAAATGTATAAAAATATCGAAAAAAAAAACACCGATCTCCGATAAAAATTCTAAGTCATTTGTGTGAAAGACCAAGCATGAATTTTTCGACGAAAAAACAAGTTCATGAAAATACTTGAAGCGCTCAAATACGTCGCTTCACTTATGAAGACTGATTTAGAGTAACATATTAGTTTCACTCAGGTCACTTTTTTAAATTAAAGTACTCTAACCATTAGTCAAAAAGACTATTCTCAAAATTTTTTAGAGATAAGTGTTTTCCCTTGATATTTTTCTTACGTTTTCGTAGCGCTGACGAGACTAGCTGAATCCAGTGTACATGTGACAGTTGTTGGCTATTTCACCTAGTTTAGGCACAGTACAAACAAATGAGTTTAATACAGAAGAAACGAAATTTCTCTAGGGTGCTGATTTTATTAGTTATGACTCGTTCTCCTTTAAAATACCAAGTATTTCATGCTAACACTTTATCTAAGGTATAGTTTGCTTTTGTCTATCACAGACTGAGCTAGACGAATTCAAACTCGCAATTATCACTTAGCCGTGAGTTAAAGCTAAAACTTGTTTTTTAATCTATTGTGGAAAAAAATTGATGTTCTACAAACAAATGGGCAATCCTAAAATAAAACTCCTCTTTATCCATCTTTACAAAATTGATTATAGAAAGAAAATAGGCGAAGTTCGAACTCGATAGTTTTTGTTTTCGTTTGATATTGATTAAATCGTTAATTTAGACTCCAAAACGTCCTGCATCAGACGATATAACTGATATACTTGATGATACACCACGTCGTAAATTAATAAAAACTAGTCAACAAAAGGAGAATAATACAATATCACCTTTAAGAAATGAACTTGAACTTCCTCCAGTTCCTTCAACAAATAATGAAGAAGATGATCAAGAATTTTTACCTTTAACTCAACAAACACAAAAATTATCAACATTTGATGATGATTTAGCACAAAAAGTTGAACAATGTTTTCGTAATCATACTAAAGAACAACAAACTGATGTTGATATGATGGAAATCGAAGAATCACATCAAACAAATAATAATAATAATAAACACAAATCTTCTACACGTCGTCGTTCTCGTTTTCGATTTTCATTTTCAAATAATCATAATTCACCTGAACAAGAAGAAAATGAAATAGATTCGAAAAGAAAATCTCGTTTATTTCGAACGCATTCAGCTTCGATAATAAATCATGAAAATGAAAATAATATTTATTCATCACGTCGACGAAAATCTTATAGTACTATTGGATTAGCAAATGAACTTAAAAATATTCCTAACAATAATAATAATAATAATGAACAAACAACAAATATTGATAAAGTATTAGTTTTATTTAAAATAAATATGAAATTGATTTTTTTTCTTTTTTTCAATATTTAGAAATCAACAAAAATCAAATCATCATTAGCTAATCGTGTGAAACGAGCATTTTTCCGTCCACATCGTAGTCCACTAACATCGTCATGATAATTTCTTAGTCTCTCTGTACATCCGCAAAATCAAAAACAAAAAACAAGTGTTTATCTGATGAAATTATCCGACATAGTCAAATTGCTTTTTTTTTTCGTCTCAATCTCTCAGGAATCGTAGCTTCAATGAAGATAGATATTGCATATATATATATATATTATGATTTGTTCTATTTTCTATTGTTTATTATGTATACAGTAGTAGTTAATCATAGAAATTTATATAATATCAATTGTTTTCGTTTTTGTATTATTGAATAACATATGAAATATAAAACGAAAGTATTTGTTTTCTTTCCATGAATTTCTAGATAAAAATTTATTAATAAGATTTTTGATTTAATCTATAATATATGGGTTAATTTTCAAGTAGATTTATTCAATATTGAATTCTGTCTACAACGTCGTTATTGAAACTTGAATAATCTTGTTTATATTTTGAAAAAGGTAAAACAATATCTGAACTGCATATCAATCTACTTTTAATCTCTAGGCGCTACAAAAAAAAAAGTAAAGATCGTCATCAGTGACGAAGCCAGAAGAAAAATGTCAATGAGTCTTAGCCTTCGTTTGAAGCTAAAAACGAGGTCGATTCTCTCAGCATGTAGAAACGTCAAATTACAGAAGGAGGCCAACTGATCTTCTGACTTCATCACTTATTGTCATATGAATGAATTAAAAATAAAAAGTAGAGATAAATTCACGTTCTAGTAGATTATTGTCTTTCGAAAAAAAAATTTTCATTTTTTTAGAAATAAATCAGGGGTGGAACCGGTTGAGAAATATTAAAACGGTCCGGTCCGGCCGGTTGGAATCACATGTTCAACCGGTGGAAAAATGTCGAATTTTTTTTTTCAAAACCGATTTTTAGAAAAAATCGCCCCAAATATGAAATAGTCTAAGGCGCATGTAAAAGACGCTCATCATAATGAATCTTTTTAAAGAGAACCTCAGGAAAAATGATTAATATAACATATGTTTTGAGCACTTTTTTACCTATTCTGACAGAAAAAACATGTGATACCTTAGTTTTTATGGTCAAAGACAGGATTAACAAAGAAGATTTTTGAAAAATTTCAACCGGTGAAATTCCGATCTTTACCAGCCCGGTTGATTTCTTCAACCGGACCGGTACCAATTTGCCGGACCGGTTCCAACCCTGGTCCCTTGATCCACTCGTCTGATGAAATATAGATATTCAAATCTTCAGGTGTCTATCCTTTACAGTTATTAACGAGGGAACTTCACCAAATCCTACATTTTGTTTGAGGTCATATTTTGCTCACATGTACGTAGGACTTCTAGTGTAAGTAAAAGTCGCAAAAAGAATTTTTTTTTCATTAGGTGCCTGTTCTCGATTTATGATTATTTTATTGAATTTTAAGCCTCTTGCAGGATATTACAAGCAAAACTAAATCACTCGTTGTCTCTATAATAGAGTATTAATTTTGTTTGGAAGTTTCAAGATATTATAAAGGCTATGGGATTCATTTTTGAGCAAAATTTCAGATTGAGATTTTTCGATTTTATTTTGCTCGCAATACCTCGCAATAGACTGAAAATTTAGTAAAATAATCATAACTAGAGAACAATGGCTTACATCAGTTGGTGAGATTTCCTTGTGATATTCAGTAAGAAGCGAGACTTGTTCGTATGTGTCATACACGTATTCATTTAGTATTTTTTTTTATCGATTATTCAATTGAAATTGCAGTTCACATTTTTGATCTTTTCATAATTTTTCAAATAGCAAAAATGAAAAATGATGTTCAAGTTTCAATACGATTTTTAATGGAAAATGAAATTATCTATTGAATGAATCTACTTTGAACATTTTACACCATTGTGAATATTCGAACATAGCAAATTCATGAATGAAAAACTTCGAATTTATTATGGTAATGAATGATTTTTTAAAATTGTCATTTCGATATTATAGATGTGGAATGTTCATTCAAGATTTTTGGCACGAACAGTTTGGGTTCGTAATGGTGAAGTAGATTTAGCTTATCGAGCTTTAAATCGGTAAAAATATGAATTGTGAAAGAATCATAAAGAAGAAACTTTTTCTTTTAGAGTTTTGAATAATGAAGATGTATTTAAAACAGCTCGTTTATGGGAACGATACGAAAAACCATTTCGAAAACGTGGTCGACTTTGTTATGAAAAGTACATTAGAATTTATTTATTCACATGAATTCTTTTGTTTCTTTTAGAGCACATGAAATTTACAATAATGAAATGGAACGAAAAATTAAATTTCTAATGCGTAAAAATCGTGTGAATCCATGGCCATGGAATTAATATCTAAAAACAAACTTTCATCAAGTTTTCTTTTCCCGTGTTTTTGTCGATTTGATTTCTATCTCTTCTGTTTATTTGTCATAATTGTTTCTATAGGACTAAAAGTTTCTTCTAGATCAAATATATATATACGCATTGAACAATGGGTTTTTTTCAAGGAATCAAAGGTAAGATTATTGATTGTTTACAAAACATTTATCTAAAGAATTTAATTTTTTTTTTCTAGGGCAAGTATTTTTTTTTTTATTAATGAAACATACAGTTTTGGCCAAAACTATTGAGTCACTTGTTCGAACAGAGCTATTCGATGAGTTTCGACTATTTTAATTATATTACATAAACAAAAAAATTATTTGAAGACAGATGTTCTTTGTCTGAATGTGAAATCATATAGACTTGATAAAACTGTCAGGTTAAAAGAAACAGATAATTGTCAAGTTTTACCTCGTTAAACTTATAGAATCAGTGTCATTTTTTTTTTTTGAAGAGTGAAATCAGTACTAAACATGTACAAGCACTTATAAATATTATGTACGAGAGATTGACAAAGATTTTGATAATTGTTTACTAATACTAACACTAATAGATGTTATTGTAAACGTTATCAATCATGACAAAGTCCTTCAAACATAATATTCAAGAATAGATGGAAGAACTTTGTACATGCTAAGAACTGATTTGAATAGTATATATTGTGAAACGATAACTATCTTTCTAATGAAATGAGATGTGAAATTTTCAAGCAAAATCCGATTCTCGACATATATGTGTTTCCTACAACCTGACAGATCAATCAAATGAATATGGTTTCATATTCAAACAGAGTACATTTCAATACCTGCCTTCACGTAATTTTTTCTTTCTGTATAAGAATTTAAATGATTCGTCTAACAGCTTCAAGTAGTTCTATAATTTTGACTAGTAATGTATTTTTATTAGTGTTGTTCTTCTCGCTTTTCTGGCTTCAATTGGTCTTACATTACTCATCTTAGGTTGTGCATTGTCTCAATAGTATGCATTTATTTTATTATTGTTTTTTTTTAAATGAAATTTTTTGTTTTGAAGTAATTGGTGGCCAACATTTGTAATTATATTTTATGTTCTGTCACCATTTCCAATAGCCATTGGACGTCGATGTACATCCGATGGTGGCTATACTTTACGGGAATCAAGTCCATGTGCAGATTTAATGTGGTTTATAACAAGTGTTATTGTTGTTTCGGCATTTGGTTTGCCAGCAGTTATGTATCGTGCATCTGTCGTATGTGGTTAATTTTAAAGTTGATGTTTTATTTTTCTTTGTTTTGAATTTAGATTCAAGTTGGTTCAATGGCTTTTATAATGTCAGCTAATGTGGTTATATTTACAACGATTACAATTTATTTCATGACATTTGGTTCAGATGATAGTTTACCTAATTTCTAAACGAATAAGAACATTATGGTTTATAACAAAAACAGGACATGTAAACGATTTTGTACAAGTGTTTCATTCGCTTTTCTCATTGTATTGTCAGCTTTATTGTATTTTATTAATTTTGAAGAATAGCGCTTTTTTTTTTCTCAGATTAAAAAATCTCGGCTAATGATATTTTCATCATCGTTCGTGTGTATCTTTATTTAATAAATATACGAAAATATATAATAATTATTATTATCATTTTTGATAGACAATTCTACTGAAAGACAAAAAAAAATGTCATTTATATGTATTATTTGAAAGCTTATAAGAAACAAAGATTATTGATATTTTCTATTATCAAACAAATCTATAGTAATTGAAATATACTTAGATCTATATAAACACTTTTGTTTCGTTGAACAATGTGTGTGTACGTTAGAAGGATTAAAATAAATACAGCTAGATTATTACTCATCTATTAACAATTGATTGAACAAACTGTTGCAAGAAGTTTATTGTTCACATTTAATATATCATGACTTTTTAATTAGTCTTTAATGTGTATAAATACTTTAAATATTCAGCTTGTTATGCATTAGTACATTGAATTAACATTAGCTTTGTTTTTGAGCCTATTCAACTCATACAATACAAAAAAAAAAACAGAATCGAATTCGATTGTTAGATTTGTTTTAATTTGAAACAAAAAAAAAATTGAGAGACTCATTTAACAAAATATATATAAAGACAAGTTTTATTTGTTAGGTGTTATTTAATTACAAGCATTTATCATAAAAAAAAACGCACAATAGTATAGTCTCTACTGACTCAATGTTAGTCTCGATTAATGTTTTTTTTTTTCACTCTCATGAATGTTAAGTGAACAAGTATAAAGTAATTTACCTTTCGTCTTGTTCTTTTCTTTGAGTTGTAGTAATATTGACGAATCGAAGTTCTTTTCTTTTTTCGGTCTATTGTTTATTCTGTATTCCTTATGAATATATATATATATATATATAAGACAAGAGAGCATAAGTGAAAACTGTTATCGTATTTATGACCTTTTAAAATTGTTTCAAGTATTAAGATATAAGCATTTGTCGACTAGTTCATTAACAATGCACAATAGTTTGGTTGACGGTCATATTCGACATGAATTTCGATCTATTTTAAATATTCTTATTCATTTTTCACTTTCACTTACACAATTAGTAAGTGTACTTGCTATATTAGGCTTACAAATAGCATTGACTGTTACTCAAACATGTGCATATCAATTTGCTATTGGTTTCTGGTCATTTCCTTTCTTAATCATATCTCCGATAAGTATTTGGTTGGTTATTTGGCGACGTAATTTAATGACTTGTCTTAGTGCTATAGTTGTTCATTTTTGTTCAACTCTTTTTGCAACAGCCATAATTATTTTTAGTTTTCTTGTATTGATTGGTCAAATTGGATTTACATGTTCTACATCTTCGTTAAATGCAACATATGTCGTACTAAATAGTTCATTAATTGGTATGAGTGGTTTCTTTAAATTATTTAATTATGGTGAACTTATTTTACTTTATATGCTTATTCGTAATCATGATAAAATATCAACAACATCTATGAATGAATTTTTTCAAAGAGATCATTCATTTATGCCAGATCGTACCTATGTCAATGCATGGCGTTCATGGGCTGAAGTTAATAGTGAAACTCGCAGTAACTCTGATGTCTTTTTTGTTTAAAAAAAAA